CGATAAGAAATAATGAATGTGAATGACACATTTATTTTATAATTAATATATAATAAATAAAATAACAATATATTGAATTCCAAAGTACAAAAGCAACAGTTTATGTTTCTCATTAACTTACAATATTCAAATTTTCCAACATCATCTTAAGTTTTTTATTCTTTTTTGTTAACACCCCATATTCCGAACAATAATAAATAACATATACATAATATTAACCTAAAAAAAATCAAAACATATACTTGCTTAATCTTAAAATCATTTTTATAACCTAAAATAAATTATGATAACAAGTAACCCAACTATTAATTAATTTTAAGCATGATAAATTATAATTAGACAATAAATAAAAAGTCATAATTATACAAATGTAAATATCATATTCAACACTACAATTTATAAAAAACAACAAAGTTTCACAAAAACTAATTACACATAACTTATATATCCAATTCCTTTTGCCGGATAGTTGAATTTTTGGGTTTGCAACCACTTTTTTTCCCCGGTTTTGATTGACAAGGTATATCCACTGCCTTTTTAGCAAATTTTGAAACATTTGAACTCAAAAACACATCCTTCCATTTCTCCACAGATCTAGAATATGATTCAACATGTTTCTCATGCTACAATAAAATTAAATATTTGTAAGTTATTTATCCAAAAATATAAAAAAATTTTATTAGAATAAAATTGTTCTATAATATAAACAAACACATATATGTTATGCAAAAGAACATATATTCAAAACACCTTTCAAACAACACTAATTAAAAAACATGAATCCCGAATAAAAACAATTCAATAAATCAAACAAATATCAAAGTCATAACAAACATACCACTTCAAGTTTACCAAGCAAGTTTATGGTTCTCCTAAGTCAAAATTTCAATTTGTTTAACAAAACAACATCAAAATAAATAAATAAAACCATTAAATTAATACAATAATGAAAATCCATATAAAAAACAATACTTTTACAACTATGCTGATAATACCCCTTTCTGCGAACTAAAATATAAACTTTGGTATTTGAATTGATAGGTACAAGAATTATCAAGAGAAGTAAGCTTGCTTTGTTTACTTTCTATCAGTTCAATCAAGTAATCAATTTTCTGTTCCATAGTTTTGTTTTTCCTATTGGACCGAGAACTCTCCGTAATCACATATCCTGGTTGTTGATCTTCTTCTTCACTTTCACTATCACTATAAACAACAGAATCAATAAGACGCTAAATATCTTCATTTTGTTTTTCAAGATCTGTTTCTTGAAAACGAACATAGTGTCTAGGATTAACATTAACATGACACTTTCCTTTCTTCGACGCTTGCTTTGAGGTTGACATGCTATCAACAATACCAAAACAAAAAGAAAAGCCAAATATAAAATTAATCTTGTAAAACTATAAAAGCCCAAACATATACTTAATCATCACTCTCATTATCCGCTGTATATCAAACACAACTTTACAATATAATATGAACAACAATACAATAACTCAAACAATAAAAAAAACCAAATAAAGCTTCACTTTCTTCAACCCTTTATTTCAGATCTCCATGCTACAATTAAATTTCAAAAATCAATCTTGCAAAACTATAAAATCCTAAACAAATACTTAATCCTCATTGTCATTATCCAATGTATATCAAACAAAGCTACACAATATAATATAAACCACTGATAAACAAATCAAACAATAAAAAAAGAATGAGAACAAAGAGTTACAAACAAAAAAAGAAAAAGGGACGAAATAAATATTAATTACATTCTTACAAAATATTGTTTAGATACTACCGAAGCTTTAAACAAACAAAAAACAGTAGTGGAAGAAATCAAAAAAAAAAAAAAAAACAAATGCAAGACGGCGAGGTAGAGACGATGACAATGTACTGAACAATACCCTAAGTAAATAGTAAACAAATTTGAAATAAAAGCCGGCCAAAGAATTCGTACAACAGCAAAAAAGTTGAAATAAAACCCGGCCCAACAACTAAAAGAGCATTAACTATCCAGTCCAAAAAAAATAACAAGTTAAAGTTAATCCAAAAATGTCTAATTCAAAAAAGAGTATAATTAATAATAACATTTTGAATTAAATATATTTGACAATATATATCCACTATAATTAATTTTAGCAAGTTGGATTAAATAATAAGTATATATAAATGTGTAATAATGAAACAAATGACTATTATTAATTCTATTATCCAATATATCAAGAAATACATACAATAAAATATTGTTTTTTCTCATAAAATTGTAAGTAAATAAACAATCCAAAAGATAAACAATATGTCCAAATCCAATTTCAAAACCAACCTGTGCAATTCGTGAGCCTCAAACTAGTATATATATAGATGGGGTGCTACCCTTTTTTTTTTTTTGGTTTCATTAGGTTGGCTTATAGTGGACGCCCAATTTGAGAGTAAAGAGTTATATTTGTAGATGTAAGACCTCAATCCAACCCTACGACAGAAATTAGGGTGTGTTTGATTTTTCCATTTATGTCTTAAGTCTAAATTGATTTTTTTTTTTTTTAATATAATCAGTGATTTTTAGAAAAATTCACTTAATAGAGAAAGTGAAATTTCATTACTTAAATCTAAGAAACTTTATACAGACACACAAACTTAATTACTTAAAATACCCCTAATCATATTAAATTTAAACTTAATAAAAATAGTAAATTGAGACTTATAATTTATTATATTTAAAATACTTCTAATTAAATTATTTTAGTTAATTAATTAATTTTGTGGTTATCGAAATTTCTGGCGGGTGGAACTTTTTTTGCTAGATTAGGTAACAATATTGGTATAAAAATGATCATATTTTAACATTATCTATATCTACAATTTTTTTAGCAATAAATGCAACATTTGGCAAAATCTGATAAAGAAAGTTCGGGTGGCCACATTTTCTCAGTCAAAAACCACCTTTATTTCAATAAAAAAGTATGTAGATAGATAGATCGTTCAAAGTTGATCAATTTTATATAAAATATGTTACTATTACGCACAAATAAAATTTGCTAGATTAGGTAACAATATTGTTATCAAAATGATCATATTTTAACACACTATCTATACCTACAATTTTTTTTAGCAATAAATGCAACATTTGGCAAAATCTGACGGAGAAAGTTTGGGTCGCCACATTTTCTCAGTCAAATCTTGGCCAAACACCACTTTTATTTCAATAAAAAATTATGCAAATAGATACATCGTTCGAAGTCGATCATTTTTATATCAAATATGTTACTATTACGCACGAATAAAATTTCTGGTTGCCGGAAGCCGATGGTTGCTTGTCAATTTTCCAAAATAGATTGACAATTTTCCAGCTTATATTTTAGATAATCTACTATTAAGAGATATTATTAATTATTACTTATACACTAATTACTGTATTATGTAATTAACAATAAAACCTCTCTATATTCATAATGTTGGAACTAACTAATTTTATTACTATACAGAAGTTATAACTTAATGGAGGTGTAGCTACAAAAATTATAGTTTTGATTTCTTATTTTATAATTCATATTTTAGTAGTACAATATTAGGATTTCAATTCATATTTTTGTGATATTAGGATTTCAATACAACGTTTTAATTACCTACTTTTGAAACAGATAAAATATCGTTTCTTAGAACCAGCAAAAATAAGTGTCATTGATAGAATTGTAAATACAATTGATGCACGGTTAATTGATGTGAAGCCACAGACAATTGTCAATGGTTTTAAGCGCTGTAAAATTAGGACCACTAATGTCAATGAATTGTAAGTTACAAATGAAGTGGATGAGGAGAATAAAAGAGCCACTATAGAATTGAGTGATCAGATTCGACAAATTCACTACACTAATCGAATGGATATTAATGTCTTCTTCGATTATTCAAATAAGCAATAAATCGTGTATACTTTAACCAAAGGAGAAATCATTGTTGCAATTAGACAAAAAGAAAAAATAATCCTAAGGATAATAGTACGGAAATACAAAAAGTCTTGTGCCATGAAGCTCTAAACATGTTTGAGAAACTAAAAATATTTTAGCTTCAACAAGAAGGTATCCATGCTAACAAGCTATTATGTACTCGTAAGGTAAAATATGTGATAACAACCCTAAAACATAAATAATTGTCCCAAACAATTTTAAATAGATATTTTATTTCATTTTAAACCTTTAATTTTACGTAACATATATTTTTTTGTAATATATATATATAATTATTACTATGTAGAGACAACTTTCCTTAAAGCGGGAATTAGAAAAATTATAATTTATTACAATATTATTATTTAAGTGTTTGGTAAACATAAATATCTACATTATAATCTTTATATATATAAATATATATATTCCTGTAGCTAATAATCATATTTATCATGAAATAAATATTACTCTTTATCAACATGATATCATTTTTCATGTAATTTAAAGATAATTTTATATTTTCATGGATGAAAATTTTCAATCTAAATTCTAAAACTCTATTGAAAAAGTAAAATAGATATACGAGTAGAATCATGATACTAAAGGTATTTAAAAAGTAAATATTAATCACCATTAGGTAGCCTAACGATCAACTGAAATTATTGAGTGTATTATTCAAGAGGTTCTGAATTTGATTCACTTGTGCTACTAATAAGAATAGTCACTAAAGAGATTTATCTAATTGTCAACTTTAGAGTCTTGAAAGATTAATTAAAATATATACAAACTGATCCAGACATCTTCGATCACAAAATTAAAAAAAAATATATATATTACAGAGTATAATATTTTTTACCTGTATGAACAACAAATTATGCTTTCCTCTTTTGGTTTTGCTGATGGCAATAGCATATTAAAATGTTAAAATGTGTACGAGTACACTTGGAGGAGATTTAAAGGGTCAAATTGGACGTCAATTCCAAAATTAAATTGGAATTAGACAAGACAACTTCCGTATTAATTAATTTTGCGAACAATTGACAAACATCGTTGCGTGTAGATATTGACGAATCCAGGCATCACGGTCTGCATTCACATTTGTACAACAATGAATGACCCATTTTACAGTGTGAAAAAAGAAAATGTAAATGCGCCAAATTTGTAGTGAATCCCACATACCTCACTTTTGAAGCCCAATAACACGAGTTCTCAAAATATTAAAGACACTTACAATAACGGGCTATTCTATACACTTTTAATCAATTCAATTCACTTGGGGAAAGAAATTCCTTCATAAAAAGCATATTTTAACACAAAGAAAGTAGAAACAAATGCATATTTATCTGCAAATAATAAGAGTTAAGTGTTAATATTCATGCTTAGACTTTACTTACAAGAAGAAGAAGGTTGGTTGTTAAATGACTATGGCGATGCTGGGTTGGTAGAGGCATAAGTATTTACTAGAGCCAAGGCATTGCTCGTCAAATGAGAAACTTTAACAACGTGTCTCCGGAGCATGGTCTTCACATTTGTGTTCATTGGCTTACCTTTAAGTCCATCCATACAAGTATCCTCATCCGTTAATGCTGCACTTACCCATGTTTGAATATCACTCATTATCACCCCAAAATTTGAGCTTTTAATATCACCCATTTCCTCTATAGACTGTTGGAGCTCATCTACCGAATCATTTATCACCTCTATGCAATCTGTCATTGCTTCTACTGCCTCTTTAGGCATCAACCCTGGAATTTTAGACATCTTGATCATCATCCTTGATGTTGATTTCGTGGCTTTGAGGGTTATGTTGAGGGCAGTAGTTGCTAATTCTTTAGGGTTGGTTTTGATTTTGTTTGCGTAGATTGTAAGGGAGTGGTAGCACAATTTGGGATACATTGTTGCATCACATGCAATTTTTATGTACTCTGTGTTTGTTTTACTGGCAAGCATTGTTGTGCTTAAGGTTTTGTTGGCCGAGAAACTAAGAAGAATGAATAAAAGTACTAATGCAGGGCTCAAAAATGAACTTGCCATCCTCTCTATATCTCAGGATGTTACAGAAAAACAGTGAGAGCTTGCTGAAATTAGAGAGGACAAAGAGCCTATATAGACAAGCTCAATACTGAGCGTGTGCGTCCCACTAAAAGGAGGGAAAAAAGCCTGATTATAAGGATAAATTGAATTCTTGAAGATTTGAAAGCGTATCCATGATAATGATTAACACAAATTAAGGGATAAGAATTATTACAACAACTGAAACAAATAGAACCTATATAACATTAACATCTTATTCTGACTCCTGCTTGTACGGGGACCATGGCATGTCCAACAAAAACTTTGAAATGAAAATCCAAAAATTTGAGGACAACAGAGAATATTTGAGTAACCTCTCTGGCTTCCAATAATGTTATATGTACAAAGTTAACTGTATCCTAATTTACATGATGATTGATTTGATAATATATATCTCTTTAGTTATAAAAGGATGAAATAAAAGAATTAGCTTGTTAAATCTATGTAACTTATTCATTATTCATCATTATCACATGTCATCATGGAATTTAATAAACGACAAAGTTATCACATAAAAAAATGTTTTCCATCAAGATATTATTTGAAATCCAGTTTTTGCCGCAGTATAATCGTAAAGATGTAATTTCCAAACCGGTGAGTTTGGAGATAGTCACAGATACAATGAAAATTGTAACATTACATGCCTCTTGACGTGTGTTGAGTGAAGCTTCAAACGGTGTCGTATTGGAGTAACTGATACACTGTCATTTTGAAGCTTTGTTAAGTAACAAATCTCAACCTTTGGTTCCAGTCTAATCCAACGATGCAAATGAAGCTTTGAGGTCAACCTATTTAAAGTTAAAGTTACACAGAAACAGCAACAGTGGAATACACTCTCTCTCTCGCGTTTTTTATCTCTGTTAGGGTTTGTTCTTAGTGTGGTTAATCTTCAGTTTTTTGTAATCTATTGCAATTTATTAGTTAAATTGTGGGTAGAAGAAGTATTAGGTTCTTCTGGTTGAGACGCTTGTATTAGTTGTCTTTGTGAGGAGATTACGAGTGATTTGAAAGTTGGGTGATTGTGAGATCTGAGTGGCTGCTATTGATTGAGTTGTAATCTGTAATTGGATTGATCCTTATAGTGCAGTGAGCCTCCATTTTACTTGGAGTTCAACGTGGATGTAGTTTATTCCTTTGGAACGAACCACGGTAAAAATTGGCTGTGTTCTTGTTTTTCCGATTCTTTATTGTTTGTGTTGTTTCTTGAGTGTTTGCTGGTTGTGTTTGATAGAGGAACCGATTAGGTTGCGTTTGATTGATTCTTAACAGTGGTATCAAAGCAAGATTAGGGTTTTTCGGTCTGATTTGAGTGATTCTTGAAACATATGGTTTATACAAATTAGGGGTTTCTTTATAATCAGTCAAATTAGTGTCTTAGGTCCTGTAAAACCTTAGATTATTTGGTCAATTTCTTGAAATCAGTTCTAATTTGATCTTAAACAAATTAGGGTTTCTTCTGTGTCAACCCTAAATCCAAACACTATGACTACTACACGAGTTGAAATCACCCAATTTGATAGGAAAATTGATTTCAACAGTTGGAAGAAAAAAATGAAAGCCTTATTATCACATAATAAGGTAGCCATTGCATTGGAAAAGGATGTAACCAAATGGTCAGAGGAGAAACTGAAAAAAAAAAAGTAGAGATGGAGGAGGAGGCGTACAACCTGATCATTATGAACCTTTCCGACGGGGTCCTGTGAAAGGTAGACGATTTTGAAACTCCGACAGCGGTATGGGGTAAACTTGAATCCCTTTATGCTTTACAGTCTGCTCCAAATCTAGCTTACTTAAAAGGTGTTTTATTTGCATCTAAAATGGATAGCTCTAGGACCATTGATGAAAATTTTGATGAATTCTTGAAACTGACCCAAGTGCTTAAGGGTACAGATCAATAACTCGGGGACTCTAGTTTAACTATGATTCTGTTGAACTCATTAACTGAAGATTACCAGGTTATAAAAAATGCCCTACAATACACTGGTATTGTCCCAAGTGTGGACCTAATAGTTTCAGGATTAAAAGTTAGAGAGTTAGAGATTAAGGTTCAAAGGAGAACTGGTAGTAATCTGTTTGTTAAGGGAAAGGGTGAACTAAACCAGTTAGGCAACACTGTTCAGTTTGATAGTGGCCTTAGGAATAAGAAAAAGGGAAAACAAAACCGTAAGGCCAAAGGAGAAACCCGGAAGTGTTTCTTCTATAATAAGGCTGGCCATTTGAAAAAGAACTGTTATGCTTAGCTTAAGAAACAGAAACAAAGGAACACTGAAAGCAACCTGGCAACCTTTAAGTCCATTTTAGAAGAATTTGAAGTTCTAGTTGTTTCTAAAACAGAAAAAATAAATGATTGGGTGATGGATTCTGGGTGCTCATTTCATATGAGTCCCAATAAAGATTGGTTTCAAGACTATAAGGAGAATAGGTTAAAAACAGTGTATATGGGGAGTAATAATGCCTGTAAAGTTGAAGGGATAGGCAGCATAACCTTAAAACTAAACAATGGCAAAACTGTCAAGTTGACTAAAGTGAGGTATATTCCAGAATTAAAAAGAAACCTAATTTCATTAGGTATTTTAGATGAATTTGGTTGTAGTTATAAAGCTAAAAATGGTTGCCTTTATGTTTGTAAAAACAACAGTGTTTTGGTTGAAGGGATAAAAATGAATGGTTTGTATATTCTGTGTGGATCCTACTATTCTGATTGTTTTAATTCTGCTTTGTTTTCTACTAACTTGAATGCTACTGAAAAATAGCACTTAAGACTAGGCCACATCAGCCAAAAAGGCCTGGACATCCTCCATAAGCAGGGCCTATTTGGTAAGGAGCCTATTGAACCCCTTGAATTTTGTGAGACCTGTATTATGGGTAAGCAACACAGGTTGAGTTTCCAAAAGGGAACTCACCTGGCTGCCAACTGCTTAGAATATTTGCATGCTGACTTGTGGGGACCTGAAAGGGTCAAATCACATGGGGGTAGTAGTTATTTTCTGTCCATAGTAGATGATTACAGTAGGAAGGTGTGGTTTTTCTTACTTAGCACTAAGGATGAAGCTTTGGGTAGGTTTAAGAGTTGGAAGGTTCTTGTAGAGAACCAAACTGACAAAAGGGTTAAAATCCTTAGAACAGACAATGGCTTAGAATTCTGTAACCTGGAATTTGACTCCTATTGCACTGAACATGGCATCCAAAGATAGAGAACTGTTAGGAGAACCCCTCAGCAGAATGGAGTTGCTGAAAGAATGAACATGACCCTCTTAGAGAAGGTGAGATGCCTTCTCTTCACATCCAACCTTCCTAAGTCCTTTTGGGGAGAAGCCCTTAACACAGCTACCTACCTTATTAACAGAAGTCCCTTTAGTGCCATCAGCTTTATGTGTCCTGAGGAAAAATAGAGTAATAGGAAACCTAGTCTAGGACACTTGAGGACCTTTGGATGTGCTGCATACGTCCATAACAGTGAAGGGAAGTTAAAGCCTAGGTCACTTAGGTGTGTCTTCCTAGGTTATCAAGAGGGAACCAAAGGGTATAGGCTTTGGGAGAGAAGTGCCCCGGGAGTTAGAATAATAATCAATAGGGATGTAATTTTCAATGAAAATATATTTCCTTGCAAAGTTGCTAACCCTGATACAGGATCAACAAGTAGCAAACCTATGAACTATGATCAGCTTGAGAGAGTCCAAATTGAGGTGGAGCCTATTGAAATTCAATCTGATTTAGAACATCAGGAAGCTGAAGTCAATGAACCAGATTCGGACCCTGACTTGGAAGAGGAAAATACAATAGAACTTGCTGAACCCCATCATGATCCATTAGCCCAGTATCAGCTAGCTAGGGATAGAAGTAGGAGAGAAATTAGGCCACCAACAAGATACTCCTACGCTGATTTGATTTACACAACCCTGGTGGCAAGGGCTCAAGTTCAGAGGACAAAATTAGACTGCTATGAAAAAGCAGTCAGATCTAAAGACAAAGAAAAATGGCAAGCTGCAATGGAGGAAGAGATGTTGTCCCTAAAGGTAAATGCAACCTGGTCTTTGGTTCCAAATCCCAAAGACCAGAAACTGATTGAATGTAGGTGGTTGTTCAAGCTTAAAGAAGGTATGAACCCTTTTGACCCCTCTAGGTATAAGGCTAGGTTGGTAGCCAAAGGCTACACACAGCGGGAGGGAATAGACTTTAATGAGATATTCTCCCCCATTGTAAAATATAAGACCATTAGGATTATGTTAGCCATAGTTGCTCATAAGGACTTGGAATTAGAACAACTGGACGTTAAGACTCTTTTTTTTTGCATGGAAACTTAGAAGAAAGGATTTACATGAGATAGCCCATAGGTTTTGTAGATAGAAACCTGCTCAACCATGTATGCTTACTTCACAAATCCTTATATGGACTGAAACAGTCCCCTAGGCAGTGGTATAAACAATTTGATGTTTTTATTCTTAGCATTGGCTTCAATAGAAGCAAATATGACAGTTGTTTCTACTATGCTTTATATGATGACATGCCTTTATATTTACTGCTGTATGTTGATGACATGCTTTTAATTTGCAAGTCTAAGCCTAGGATAGAAGAGTTAAAGAAAAAATTGAACTCTGAATTTGATATGAAGGATTTAGGAAATGCTAAACAGATTATAGGCATGGTAATAGATAGAAACAGAAAGGACTATGAATTAAAAGTCCATCAGAAGGCTTACCTAGAAAAATTAGTGTCTAGGTTTGGCATGGTAGGTTCTAAAACTGTGAATGTACCCCTAGCTGGTCACTTTATGTTGAGTAAATCACAATGCCCCAAATCTGATGCAGATTTAATAAAAATGGAAAATATCCCGTATGCAAACATAGTTGGGTCAGTAATGTATGACATGATTAGCACCAGACCAGACATTTCCTTTGCAATTTCCCTCTTAAGCAGATTTATGTCAAACCCTGGTATTGAACATTGGCTAGCTCTTAAATGGCTTCTTAGATACATTAATAGTTCTGTGCATGTTGGCTTGAAATATGGAAAAAGATATGACTTACTTGATCTTGTAGGATTCGTAGATTCTGACTTTGCAGGTGACAAGGATTCAAGGAAATCAACCACTGCATACGTGTTCACCTTGGGAGGAAATTGTGTGAGCTGGAAGTCTCAACTCCAACCAATTGTTGCCCTATCCACAACTGAGGCAGAGTATGTAGCTGTAATGGATGTTTTCAAAGAAGCTGTATGGCTCCAAGGGTTACTGTCAGAGGTTAAGCTACTAGAGGGTGCTGTCATTGTCTATTCAGACAGCCAAAGCGCCATACACTTGAGCAAAAACCCTGTATATCACGAGAGAACCAAACATGTTGATGTTAAATACCATTTTGTAAGGGAGCTGGTGGATAAAGGAGTGGTCATTTTGAAAAAAGTGCCAACCGAGGATAACCCTTCAGATATGGGAACAAAGGTGGTCTCTCCAACCAAGTTCAAGCACTGCTTGAACCTGTTGCATATTCAGTAAGAGGCAGCAACCGAGCTATGATGAGTAACTTGTGGGTGAACTGCACTGGTAAGGTATCTAATCCTTGTGAGGTGTTGAAGCTTCAAGGTGGAGATTGTTGAGTGAAGCTTCAAACAGTGTCGTATTGGAGTAACCAATATGCTGTCATTTTGAAGCTTTGTTAAGTGATAGATCTCAGCCTTTGGTTCCAGTCTAATCCAATGGTGCAAATGAAGCTTTGAGGTCAACCATTAAAGTTAAAGTTACACAGAAACAGCAACAGTGGAATACACTCTCTCTCTCGCGTTTTTCATCTCTGCTAGGGTTTGTTCTTAGTGTGGTTAATCTTCAGTTTTTTGTAATCTGTTGCAATTTAGCAGTTAAATTGTGGGTAGAAGAAGTATTAGGTTCTTCTGGTTGAGACGCTTGTATTAGTTGTCTTTGTGAGGAGATTACGGGTGATTTGAAGGTTGGGTGATTGTGAGATTTGAGTGGCTGTTCTTGATTGAGTTGTAATCTATAATTGGATTGATCTTTATAGTGCAGTGAGCCTCCATTTTACTTGGAGCTCAACGTAGATGTAGTTTATTCCTTTGGAATAAACGAACCACGGTAAAAATTGATTGTGTTCTTGTTTTTCTGATTCTTTATTGTTTGCGTTGTTTCTTGAGTGTTTGCTGGTTGTGTTTGATAGAGGAACATATTAGGTTGAGTTTGATTGATTCTTAACAGTGTGTTTACTGCATTTGCCTTTTGCCATGGTTAAATAAAAATTGTTTTTACTTTCACTTACTCCTATACATATCCATGTGCTTGTCTATTCCATTTTAACTTTTTAGGTAGTTGATGTTGAACCCAACATCACTTTGTCGGGACTTGAAACATTTTTCAATTTCATGCGATAAGTATATCTTGTGTGTTGTGAACCGTTCAAGCTTCACTCTCAAATTACAGTAGCAGAATGTTTCAGAGATTATGTTTTGATATAAAAAAAATGTGTGGATATCTTTAGAAGATAAGCTTTGTAAAAAAGATGTTTGCAACTTTTAAAGTTTGAGATTGAATATTGAAATAGGTGACGTGCCAAATCTTGTATAATGGGATCTGGTCGTCCGCAGGTAAAGTGGCTCAAAGTTGTTAAAAATAAACTATAATTATGATAATAATCACTTTGATATATTAAATAAAATGATATCAACTTTGTTTTGATCATTAGCCCGCATATTACGGAAGGCCTGTCTGCTGGTTCTGTCCGACTTCATGGCTCAACTCTCCATAAAAGAGAGTTCTAGAAATAATTAGAGAAGCTAATTGTGGCCATCATTTTTCACCCAAAATCAAGTGGCTGTACAGATAAGCAACCTTTACATTCTTGGAAGAGTCATATACGGGATGGATTAATGTTATACATCAACATGATTTAAGCTCTCATTTATAGAATACATACTTTCTTCGTATTTAATATAAACAACTTTCTTTATTTAAACGAATTCAATTTTGAGGATTTCATGATATATATATATGGGGTGAAGAATTCGAAGGCAAGAAGGGATTAAAAATGCCTCATTTATTAGATATCCGTGGATTTTGAGTCAATTTGTATATGCTTGATTCCGATTCATTTCCAACTACATTAAAAAATAATTCTCTCTGTATGTTTGTTTGTTTTTCTTGTGAGTGGGTCGTGCCCGAAAATTTAAGTGGCCTTGCTTCACATTCAATACAATAGATGAAATAATCATATGTTATATCAATATTAATGCCGTGTGTCTTAAAGGTAAATCAAATGATGCCTAATAGCATTATAGAAGCAAAATCCCTTTATGCTGCAAAACACGCTTACAATTTGGCACAACACACTTAAGATTTGATCTAAAGTTTCCTAATTATACAGTTTTACTTTTACTTGCTTGCCGAAAACAAGCTAAACCAAACCCAAACATGATACAAACAAAAGTTGGACACAAACTCTAAGAGATATCACATCCAGATACCATATCATGTTATACACAAAATTCAGTGACCTCCAAGAAGTAGCCAAATGAAAGCTAATGCTTCTCATCAGTTGCTCGGTGTCTTGCGGCGAAACGATTTATCAAAGCAAGAGCATTACTAGTGACCTGAGAAACATTGGTGACCCTCCTCCTAATTGCAGCCTTCACGTTTCCATCCATACGACGACCACCAAACCTATCTAAGCAAGTGGTCTCATCGGTTAATGCAGCACTAACCCAAGTCTGCACATTACTCATGTGCCACATGAAGTCCTGACCAACGGTTGCACCCACATGCCCAAGCTCCCTTACTGATTGGCCAAGTCGGTCCACACTATCACTCATGTTTTCTATGCAGTCTTTCACTGCCATATACTCTCTACGCTTGATTCCCTTTACTTTAGTGAGCTTGCCCACAAACGCAACGGCTGATCTTGCCCTCCCTAAACTCACTGACAAAGCAGTAAGAGTTAGTTGATGCTCACTTTGTCTTATGGCACTACCATAACCTGACAGACATTGATAGCATAACGTGGGGTAGCGAGTTGCCTTACAAGACGCCCTGATGAAGTCGATGGGACTTGAATGTCTGGTAATGGCAGATTCTGCCATTTTAGCCAAGTAAAGATGAGAGAACATGAGAACTATTGAGAAAAGGCCAAGTAGGTTTGCCATGTCTTTGTACAATGGAGGGGCAGCTATACTTGATACTAATAAAATGAATGTGAGTAATATGGGAATTGTTTATATAGAATTTAAAAGGTTGTTGCCCATCTTCTTCAAGGATTAGAGAAAATGTTGTCACGTCTCATTTTTCCCTCATCTGCTTTTTTGGTTTCTTTAGAGCTTTTCGTCTTCTATCTTTATTTATTCCTTCCCATAAATACTACGCTTTCAATTTCTTTTGGGTAAACTTGGTAATTGACTCTCTCGCGACTTAAATATAAGATCACTGAGTGTAATCAACCCCAATGAATAAAAAGTTTATCATCCAACCACAAAGAGAGAGATTAAGACTTTCAAATTTTCTTGCCGTTTTCACTATTTCACCAACAATGTGCACCTAAAATATTTACTTTGGCTAAAATTGAATAGGGTTGGTTACAGAAGCACAATAAAAGCAAGTTAGGTAAAAGATTAAACTATTGAGTTGTATGTAATAATGGATGCCGTAGCTTAAGTGATCTATTAATAAACTAATATTTGTATTATGAAAAAAGAAATTGTCATTAAATAAGGGATTTGGAGGTTGAGTTGCTTGAGCATTATATATACAAACACATGCAGACACAAATCCACTATTCTTAAACAAAAAGAAGCACATATGGTGGTAAAATAATCAAAACCCGAAGGGCACATATGGTGTTATATATGCTTTTCAAATCTCAAAATATTGCCACTCTTCCATAGGCAATATCAATACTAATATTTAACTTATCAAGTTGCACGACTTTAAATAAATATGTTAGCAATTCCAAGTACTCACCGAATCACTAGACTTTAATTCAATTTGNTAGAAGATAGAAAGAGTACATCAGGCTATGTTTTCATGTTGGGATCTGGAGCTGTTGCCTGGTCTTCAAGAAAGCAACCTATAGTCACACTTTCAACCACAGAAGTAGAGTTTGTGGCTGCAGCTGCTTGTGCTAGTCAAGCTGTTTGGATGAAGAGAAGAAAGCAAGTGTACAACAATCTTTTGTGATAACAATTCCACGATTAAGTTGTCAAAAAATCTTGTCTTACATGGCCGAAGCAAGCACATTGATGTGCGATTCCATTTTCTTCGTGATCTTACACGAGAAGGAGCAGTTGAATTAGTTTACTGTGGAACACAAGAACAGCTGGCAGATGTCATGACAAAGCCCCTCACAATGGATGCATTTCAGAAGTTTCGAAGTCAGCTGGGAGTTTGTCAAGTTCCCAATTTAAACTAGTTGTAGACTTGTAGTTGGTAACTAGTTTAAGGGAGGGAATGGAGAGAAAGTTTAGGGATTCAGTTAAGATTTTTATTTGAATAAGTCCTAGTCTTTAGGATATTTGTTACATTTCCTTTGTTGCACTCATCACGTTAAGTAGTTGAACGAAGCAGGTTTTTCTCATTTTCTGTTAAGTTTGTAAAGGCTATTTAAGCCTAACTTTGTCCAATAAAAGCTAAGTCACTTCCAGAATTGTTTAGTAACTTTTACTTTGTGTTTCTATTCTCAACAAATCTTGTAACTTAAACCATCTTTTGAAGTCAACTTTCAAATAAGCACATTAAACTTCAAAAAAAATAATAATAATAATAATACACATTTAAACTTGCACCAATATCAGCTCCTCATTAACAACCAGTTCCATATTAAACTTGCAACCATCAGCTCCTCTAACCAACCAAAAAACACTCTCAAAAACAACCAAAACCTGCAATTCCACACACACAAAAAAAAAAAAGGGCAGCAGATCTGCAGCTCCGCAACAATTAACTCCTCAAATCATCTGCAACAATTAACTCCTCAAACCAACCTGCATTAATCTGCAGTTTTACACTAACACTTGAAGAGAAGACGATGAAAAAGAAAGAGAAAAGTAGTGAAGGAGAAGAAAGGGAGAAGACTAGGAAGAATGAGAAAAGCAAAGGGACAAGAAGAAATGGAAAAGACGAAAAAGAATAAGAAAAGCAAAGGGACAAGAAGAAGAGAAAGAAAAAGGTCGGTGGAAAAATTAGATGATGAAAGAGAAATGGTCAAATGGAGGTGAATAAGACGAAGAAGAAACAAGAGATTGGAGAAGGAAAAAAGAAATTTACTATTTTGCCCTTTAAAAGTTTAATTAAGTATTTAAACATTTAAAATTCCGGTTATAAACCGGGTAACCGAAAATCAACCCGAATATTTGGGTATCTGGATTTTTGGGTACCCTAAAAATTGGTTCAGTTTTCGGCTACCCTTTTAGGATTAAAAAGGCAAAACCGGTTCGGTACCCGGTTTTACACAGTCCTAGCTAGTATTAATACAACTAAAGCTCAAGATGTAACAATTCTAGCCTTATTAGAAATGAAATTACTTTCAACATTCAAAGTCTCTGTATTATGCCAAATTTTCTGTTAGCTGAGCATTCTCTTAGAGAAAGTCTAGATGAAGTGGATGACATAAACAAAGAGAGAGAAGAAATTATACTTCATCCATTGCTCCCTTAAATAAACATGGTGGATTATAGTCAACTGAGTTTATCTTTTTANACATTAACTTTTGTGACATCTTTGATATTGGTGAAAACTTACAGTATGATTTTATGCTATAATAACGATCTCATTGTTCCATTGTTACCATACACACACGAAGGAGGGATTGAGAAAATTTATGCCTTCTGTTTAGCACAAAGCAAGCAGAGAAGCTAATTAATAAGGACCCACTTTCCATTGTTCCATTTGGTTGTTTAGTGAGTTATATATTCCTCTTAACTTGGCTATCAATCTTAAGGAATCTCTATACTCACTTGATGCAAATAAATGTCAGCCATTGGTTGTGCTCAATTAAAGTTTCTTAATATATTAATTTGGCTGCCATATACTTTCAAAATCTATTTGAAAACCAAGGTTAATTTATCCAAGGAAATGACTTTAGAAAGATTTGATTTGATTAAATAAATTTTAGTGATTATAGGATATATACAATTATTGCAGTGAGACTCCACCATTATATTGTCATCTAGTACTATTTATTTAAGTGGGCTTTGAAAGAGATTCTTTCAATCACGTTGTTTACCTATGATTTTATTAATAAGGGTTAAAATTCCTAACTTTGCCTTCTTTCTACTTCAATGAACTCGCTTCCTCAACAAGGGTTAGATTGTTGAGATGAACACTTAGATGCTTAGGTTAAACACCTGTAAGAGAGAATATAAAAAAGTGTTGTAAGTTTAAAGTGCATAAGTTTAGAATGAGTAAACTTGTGAGTTGTGAGTATGGGCCTTTATATAAGGTGACTTAAGTGGTCTTATTGTAGTAAGTTTCCCTCTCAGGATAAATAGACAATTAAGAGAAATTCTTCCTCAAGCTGATTTAAATAAAGTATGTTATGTCTAAGAAATTAGGGCTGACGCGAGCTTATGTCAACCAGTGCCAATCAAAGTTCAGAAAGACTTTATGTTGTTCAGGAGTTACCACGTCGTCAGAAGACAGAAAGAGTATAGCTATCATCAACTTGGCATACTCAAGCTTTATCTACAAGTGGATGAGAGTCACCCACCTATCCAAGCCCTGCGCGATTTGAGGATATTTGCCGTGTAATCTGCTAATAGGAAGCGCGGTAGGAATTGTACTACACTTGCCCACTTGCAGACTTGTAATCATTACCCTAAAACCTTCTACTATAAATAAAGGACTCCCCCTCTCATTTTTGGGATTCTAATAAGAAACTCACATTCTGATTGTAACCTTTTACTCTCAAAACATAGACAACCTGAGAAAGAGAGACTGACTTGATATTTTCTCTGAATAATCAATCACTTGTACCTCTGCTCGCTACTCGCTTTATGCGACCTCTTGTAATCTCATATATAAAAAGAATAGTGGACATATGATTCACTTTAAACATTCGAACCACTTTAAAAATCATCTTCCATTTACTTCATTGCATTTTCCATTCACTTGTAATTTCTAAGCCAGCTTAGCACTTTGCACGTGCAAATCATTGGTGTCAAAATCAAGCATCAACAGTTTGGCGCTAGAAGGAAGGCGTGATTTAGTATCCGCTATTCATCAAGAATCTCTTATCAACCAGTTCTGCTTGCTGACAAATGACTTGTGGTTTCAAAACCAAGCGAACTAGCCCTAACCCCGAGGAGATCCCCCAAGTACAGGACGATACTTCCTCTGAAGTACCTCCCATTTCGCAGAATACAGTAGCAAATTTTCCCTCGAACTCACAGCTTGATCCAGTTGTGAGGAGTTACTTGGAGAGGTTTAACAATACTCTCGAAACGGTTAGCCGAAGGATAGACCATTTGGATCAGGTCATACAGCTCGATTACGATAAGGCGGTGCCACTGCCAAAGACGCCTATAGGTCACACTAAAGTGCGAAAACAAGCGAAAGCCCATGATGTACGCACTACAATGCTTAAAGACAAGGGAAAGCAAGGGGTGGATAGTGGGCCAAAGGGCTCCAAGGGACCAACGAATGCCGGTCATGAAGCACATAGAATACCCGTGGCTTTACGACTTGGTGATATGTCACATCATGAGCTGTCCCACGCCACATCGCATGGGTAACTCTGGAAGAGTGCAAGGCAGGGAGATTCCCTTCGTCGCCAGCGTGATGGTCTTGACCATCATCGCGGGGAAAATGCTCACCATACACAGGTCGATTTTGACCACTGTGGAGCTCGGGATAGCTCCCCTAGCCATTCAATGCCTACACATGGCTCCAGCCAACGTGTGTCGAGGCATGCCAAAAGTTTTGGCCGAATTAAGGAAGAGTCCGACCTATGGTCTTTCTTCAATCGCAATGTAAGGGTCGAACCCACATTGTGAAAAGTGATCCCCAGATAGATCCGCTTCCTCAAATTGAGGAGTTATAGCGAGCTCTAGATCAACTTAGAGCTTAGCAGAATAAGCGTGGGCGAACCACTAAAGCGTCCCCCTTTTCTCCAGTAGTGTTAGATGCTCCTCTCCCGTCAAGGTTTAGAATGCCCGATATGCGAGCATTCGATGAGAATTCTGATCTGCAGGATCACCTCTATGAGTTTAACGACCTCATGGAGCTTCACCAAGTTTCCAGCTTGGCCAAATGTCGTTGTTTGGCATTGACTCTAACTGTCCATGCCAAGCGCTAGTTTAGATTGCTCCCGCCAGGATTTATCAACTCATGACAGGAGATGAGT